ATCGTGACGTAGGTATGTGGGGGCGTGTTAGAACGAGCCGTTTTAGGTAGGTGTGGCTGACTCTTAACTTTTATAAAGAATATCTCTTTGGATTTGAGACTTTAGTCTTTGCAACTTCACAGATCTTCTTTATGTACCAAGAGCTTGTAACACTCCAAAGAGAAAGGAACAATTTAAATCGCATCATATGACCCCTTTAATGCAAAGTTTAACCATCACAGAGTGAAAGTTTATCATTTGTACGTGTTTTATCTTGCCAGTTTATACATTCAAGCAAGTTTACACACAGTGAAAACTGTGTTCACTGAAACACAAGATTCTCTTTATGCTGATAAAATGATAATAAATTGAAAAAATACTAAATGGACGCATTTCAGATCTCTGGATGTCATTGTCTGAAATAAACGGGTTCATAAATATATTTGGCCATAATTGTTCTTGTTGTAAAAATGTTAACGTGTGTGTAGAGAGTGTATTTCAACTCACAACTACAATATTCCACTCAGACTCAACTAACCTTTTCTATTTTTTCTTCCGCTACAATACATGTATAGATGTTTGTTTAACAATTAGTGAGTCACTTCAGTTCTTATAAACGTATAGCACAGAGCAAACAATGTCTTCAGATACCTTCTTTTGTCAGTTTCTCCATGTCCTCCTCACAAACTAAAATGAGAGAAAATATCAATGAAAGGTTTGATTATTAATCTGCTTCAGAAATACTCCAGTCCAGACTCTATAATCCACATTAAATCATGACTGTGTTCAGATGATAAATGAAGTTCATGTTACTTACTTTCTTTAGCTGGTTTCTTCCCTGCAGAACAGATCAAAAATATCAACACATGAGATATGCATGAAACAAAAACCCTTAGCATTCCTGTAAAATTGGCCTAAAACACGATGTGTACGTGGGCGGTACTGTGGAACGCTAAAAGGTTAAAATATTTTGACCAGATTGTACCTGTTAGTTTGTCTCTGTATTTGTAGAGGATCAGCCCAACCAAACCCAGAAGAGCACAGATGAGAACGGAGAAGAAAAGAGCCTTCCATGGACCTGATGAATCTGAGAAACAAAATCCAGATTATTTTAAACTCAACTCTGAAGCAAAATATAGGAATTAATTAAAAACCAAAAACAATGAAAATATTAATTATTAATAATAATTAAGCTAAAAAAAAACAAAACAATGAAAGTCATGAAATGCCATTTGCATTAGTTCTCATGTTCATATACGTTCACACCAGGTTTGGCTTCATGATGTTTTTGACTCACCCGTGATTTTGAGGTCTACTACTTTGCTGTCATATTTTCTGTCTCCACTCACTTCACAGTGAAATGAATCTTCATCCTGAAATGTGAGTTTCTCCAGCCGGAGAGAGACGTCTCCATCCTTCAGTCCACCAGACTGATCTGACCGCAGAGCCAAAGAGCTTCGGTTCCTGAAACATTCCTGGACCTCTTGGATCTTCCCATCGCGATAGAAGACAATGGGGTTGTTGAACTGATCACGACGGTACCGATCTCCAGAGCTTCAGCGTTCTCAGGAGGAGAGATCCAGCAGGGAAGAATCACTGTGGATCCCACATGAGCCACTATAGGATCACCAGGAACCACTACAGTGAACGACACTGAGAGACAGACACACACACACTCAGTGAAATATACAGTATTTAAAGGCAGGGTAGGTGATTTGGTTCAAAACATTTTTTGTTATGCTGGTTGAAAGTCTCTTCACATCCAATCCATAGCAATCACTAAGTTAAGTGGTCTAAATTTATTTATATGTATTTATATCGTCTGTGGAAGGCGTAGGACCATAAAATGTTCGTCCAATCAAGATGTTCGGTCCGAACATTACGATAGGCTGTCCTGCCTGCCTGTCAAAATATGTGTATTTGCATACATCGTTCCAGTGAGAATGAAAGGTGCCGTTATTGTTATATTATTGTTATGGGGCGAACGAGACGTGAGATGTGCGGATCCATTTGCAAAGCTTTATTTTAAAGACGTGATCAAAACAGGTAAAGGTCAGACAATGGCAAACAGGTATATTGAGGACAAGACACAAGAGTAGTCCAGTGAACGGGCGTGGTCGATCTCCGGTGAACAATGTCCAAACAGGGTAATCCAAAGGGTTAATCCGAAACACAGGCTATGGTCCAGGTGAGGAGTAAACAGTATCTGAACATGGCGAGACGAGAGGGGTAATCCAAGACTGCCGATATCGAACAGGGCAGGCAGAGAACAGGCGAAACTAGAGAACAGGCTAGAGTCCAAACACGGGAAAACAGGTAAGGCAAGACTATGACTAGATTAAGCAAACTGGAGCAGGCTCCGTAAAGTAGCTATCAACTAGGGTAGCGATATGTGCTTACAATACTTGGCGATGAGAAGGATCTGAGAGGGTGTTATATAGTGTGTGCCATTGGTTGCAGGTGAGAGAGTGTAATCAGTGAAGTGGAGCATGGGAAATGTAGTCCGTGGTGATGTGTAACAGTCTGTTTAGTGAGAGAGTCAATATAATGGATGAGCGACCTCTGGTGGCAATCAGACGGAAGTCCACGGACCGGATTCATGACAATTATGTGCTTTGTACTGTGAAGTTTTCTCACTGGTGAATGAGACTTGAGGTAAACTGACAGCATTGCATTCAACCCTCCACCTACGCCGTCTTTCATCGTCTGCTTGTGCGTGTTCATGTGTTTGGGAGGAGGCGTGGCTTTGGAGAGTGATTATGCAGGGAGGGTGGGATCTTATGCTTTCAAAGCTAGCTTGCTATTGCTAGCCTTTCTAAACTCGCCTACCCTGCCTTTAATTTATGCATTTATTCCGGGTTGCATTTACCGTTGTTTGGTGAATTTTCATGGCTGAAATTCAGTCATTTTAAAATAAATCCACGCATTTGGGAATTTCGTGTGAGGGCGTAAAATTGCCGCTCAGAATTTGTGGATTTGCCACACTGACAAACAGAAAACTGATTGGTTTACTTTCGGCAAGTTCATACGACAGGATTTTAAGCCCGATTTGCAAGTTAACGAGCTCGTCGACAGGTCGGGCTGTGATCGGGGGAAAATCGGCAGATGATCAGCGCTCTGCAATCTTTATGTGTGAACTACTCAACGACGCATCAAAGAGGCTTGGCATTGCTTCGCTGACGCCAAACAAATATCTAGCATGCTAAATATCTGGACCGGTCGGCCAACTCGACATCACGTGGTGTCAGGTGTCATGACGAGCTACAGCCAATGAGAGCAAGGCATGGGTTGAGGTCAGAAGAAGAAAAACAGCAGCAATATGGCTTTAAGGAAAGTGTGGACACAAGAAATGGAGCAATTTTTTTCAGAACAGATCATCACGTAAACAGCTTGCAGCACTAATTTCTTCCTGACATCCATTTTCAAATGAACAACTCCTGTTTCGCGTCATTCCCGTTACACTTCTCGCATGTGGTTTCATGACAAAACGTGTTTTGGGGACCATGTGGAGTCGATGGGTGACAAGAGTTAGGCTCGTTTGAGATGAGCCTCACCTGAACTGTAGGCGAGAGTAGGCGGCTGCAGTGAGGGCAGGGAGTGAAATAAATGCAGTCAAGACGGACAGATCTGACCTCTCGAAGTGGAGCAGATACCTATGAGATCAAAGGTGGATATCGCGTTATTCACACTCATGCGCTGTGTTGCTGATATAATTTCAGTTCTGTTGCTTTTATATGAAAACAAATATGATGAGCAAGAAAGTCACTCAAAATATGTGCTATTTAATTCCATTCGAAAGATGTATTTATCATCCATTTTTTACTTTAAAGGCACAATATGTAAGTTTTCGCCGCTAGAGGTCGCATTTTCAAAACAATAACAAAGGCGAAGCTTGATGACGCTATGAAGGAGAGTGGAATGCTGGGAGATTTAATTCACCATCCAGAGATGTCCGAATCATGTTCACGGGTGTAATTAATTGATTTTCTTATTACCTGTACCTTCCAAAGTTATTCAAACAGCGATTAAATTATACAGAGAAAGCGAGCAAAGAACATTTACATTGTCAAGTAACAGTGTCACTGACTTAAGTCAAGCGTGAGTTTAAGCATCTCAAAAAACTCCCTTATAATCAGTAAAGCGGTGGAGTGTGTGGTTATGAACGAATGAATGAAATGCATTTGTCCGTGTTTCACTCTGTCTTGAATCGCGCTCGCGGAAAGCGCTTGAGAAACAGTGTCTCTTCTGTGGCTCGGTATGCTTTCAATTCGTTTTTTTAGTCTCGAGCAAGACTGTACCACATTCACGTTACATGATTTGTCTGATTTTTACGTAGAAAGATGCTGCTTTAAGGGTCATCTGCAAATTTACCTCACAGTAAAAAACAAAGTCCAATAATTAATAAAAATCAATGTTTACAGTAAATGCCTAGCGGGCAAACTGACTAAATATATATTGCCAATAACTCGCTTAAGACAATACTTTCCCTAAATATGTACACAATTTTTTTTTTTAAAGAAAACAATTACAGTAATTCGCCAAAATGGGTTTTTCGTGTTCTAAATGTTGCAGTATGTTCCTAGTGACCAGACTGACTTACTACAGTTGAAACGTTGATAATATCTTTCTTACTGTACATACAGTATATAATTATTCTTAAGAAATTACTGTAATTCACCTAAAGTTTTTTGTTTGTTTATTTTAATGTTCCAAAGGTTGTAGTACGTTCCTAGTGACTAGACTGATTTACTATAGGTGAAATTTTGCTAATATCTTCCTTACTGTACATACAGTAGATCAATATTTTATACTACAACCTTTGGAAAATGAAAAAACCCTTTTGTGGACTTACAGTTGTGTTTTTTTTTTTTTTTTATAATTGTGACCGGTACATACAGTAAGGGAGATATTGGCAAAATTTCACATGAAGTAAGTCAGTCTTGTAACTAGCAACATACTCCAACCTTTGGAACATGAAAAAAAAACAAAAAACTTTTTTTTAAAGAAAATAATTGTGTACTGTACATATATATTCCGTGGCTCGGTACGCTTTCAACTCGTTTTTTTAGTCTCGAGCAAGACTGTACGACATTCACATTACATGATTTGTCAGATTTTTACGAGAAAGGGCGACAGCGCACCGCATTAAAAGAAATGATCATTCATGTTTTCATAACCGCTGGCCAAATTCAAAAACTAAACTAAAATTTAATCATCTTTGAGAGCAAGGGGGTCCCCTGGAGTTTCGGGGGCCCTACGCAGCTTGCGTATTTAGCGTATAGGGAGGATCGGCTCTTGAGTGCAGCGATCGTTCACGCACAGAGTCTATTTCTGCTGTGCTGCACACACTGAATTAAAGTGACAGCGCATTGTTCGCTGTAAAAATGGACATGGATTGACACGAAAATGTAGTAATTTCACAATAAATCGATATAATTAAAGTCTACTGTGTTTCACAGTCAACACGTGGCTTTTTGGTTAGGTTTAAAACAAGGAAACCCTTACGAAAATTAACCATGGTTTTACTACAGTAAAAGTGTAGTAACCATGTTTTTTTGGCGCATTGATTACCATTTGTATAACCACAGTTTTACTACAAATACCGTGGTTAAACTATGGTTAGTGTAGCAAAACCATGGTTATTTTGTGGTTACCATGGTTTAACTATAACCATGTTTTTTTGGTTTTATTTGTAGTAAAACCATGGTTCATTTCGCACTTTTAGATAAACAAGGCAACATAATAGATGCACTTGTGGAGGTAGAAAAACAAAGTTCTTTAAGACCCGCGGGATTGCTTGTAATAAAGATTTAAATGCAAAAGAACCCACATGAAAAAATAGTAATATAGTATACTATATATATATATATATATATATATATATGTGTGTGTGTGTGTGTGTGTGTGTATATATATATATATATATATACATACAATACAATACAATATATATATTGTATATATACAATATAGTATAAAATATAGTAATTTATAATAAATACTATAGTGTTTTTTAACCATACTATAGTAAAGTACCTGAATTAATTTGTTGTGGTAATTCTATAGTTGCTGTGGTAATATAACAACTATAGTACTATAAACAAAAAAGTACTTGAATTAATTTGTTGTGGTAATTCTATAGTTGCTGTGGTAATATAACAACTATAGTACTATAAACAAATTACTTTACCCAATAGTGTACTACGTTTATATTTTATATTATACTACAATACACTACAGTTTACTGTGTACTACAGTATTTATTACAGTTTATCAGTTCACTATAGTTAATACTACAGTATGCTGTAGCATTCATTAAAAAGTGTTGTAAATACTATAATATGCACAGTACAATACACTTTACTATAGTATGGTTTAAAAACACTACAGTATTACTATAGTATTTTAAGGCACGAGCGTCGACTGTTTCTGTCAGTGGTGAGTTTTAATTTAAAATGTGTGTGATAGCGAGAGGCAGTTTTAACATTAAGTGACATGACATCTGACGCACAGATGCCATTGGCACATGCCGTTATGCTCAGTGACACTTCCGGTGGCACTTCCGGTTTTCATGTGTCACAAATTTTAGTGAAATTTTTAGTGACACATGCCACTCTCCACTGACACATGCCAATGAAAATCGGACAGTTCAG